CAAAACAAAAGCGAGCTTTATTTAAACAAAGCTGTTGGCATGAAAAAACAAGAGAAAAACCGTGAATCATAAACAGGTAGCATGAGGTAAGTGACAAACATGGAGAGTGAGAAAACGAACGAACCGACATGGATCACAGGGGAAGACAAGACTAAATACACAGAAGGGTAATCACAGGACAAGACACAGCTGGGCAGGGGAGGCAGAAACACAAGGGCAACAGGTGAACACAATCAAACAATCAGACACAGGAGGGAAAACACAGGAAGGAAGACAAGACACAGGGAGAACAGAATTTCAACATAAACCATGACAAGACAGACAAAACTAAAATCGTGACAATCTGAAGGGCAGAAGGGTTTGGACTGAAGGCCAACAAAGGCTCAAAATACATTTCTGACCTCCTGCTTCATTATGCACCATCCAGAACTCTCAGGGCTTCAGGTCTGCTTTCTGTCCCCAGAACCAGAACTCTCAGGTCTTCTGGTCTGCTTTCTGTCCCCAGAACCAGAACTCTCAGGGCTTCAGGTCTGCTTTCTGTCCCCAGAGTCAGAACTCTCAGGTCTTCAGGTCTGCTTTCTGTCCCCAGAACCAGAACTCTCAGGTCTTCTGGTCTGCTTTCTGTCCCCAGAGTCAGAACTCTCAGGTCTTCTTGTCTACTTTCTGTCCCCAGAACCAGAACTCTCAGGTCGTCAGGTCTGCTTTCTGTCCCCAGAGTCAGAACTCTCAGGTCTTCTTGTCTACTTTCTGTCCCCAGAACCAGAACTCTCAGGTCTTCTGGTCTGCTTTCTGTCTTCTGGTCTGCTTTCTGTCCCCAGAACCAGAACTCTCAGGTCGTCAGGTCTGCTTTCTGTCTTCTGGTCTGCTTTCTGTCCCCAGAACCAGAACTCTCAGGTCTTCTTGTCTACTTTCTGTCCCCAGAACCAGAACTCTCAGGTCTTCTTGTCTACTTTCTGACCCCAGAACCAGAACTCTCAGGTCTTCAGGTCTGCTTTCTGTCCAAAGAACCAGAACTCTCAGGTCTTCAGGTCTGCTTTCTGTCCCCAGAACCAGAACTCTCAGGTGTTCAAGTCTGCTTTCTGTCCCCAGAACCAGAACTCTCAGGTCTTCAGGTCTGCTTTCTGTCCGAAGAACCAGAACTCTCAGGTCTTCAGGTCTGCTTTCTGTCCCCAGAACCAGAACTCTCAGGTCTTCAGGTCTGCTTTCTGTCCGAAGAACCAGAACTCTCAGGTCTTCAGGTCTGCTTTCTGTCCGAAGAACCAGAACTCTCAGGTCTTCAGGTCTGCTTTCTGTCCCCAGAACCAGAACTAAACCTGGAGAAGTTCAGTTATTATGCTCCAAATATCTGGAACAAACTCCCAGCAACCTGCAGGTCCGCTGCAACTCTGACTACTTTTAAATCCAGGCTGAAGACTCTTCTTTTTCTTTTAATTGATATATTCACATCTCACACTGCAGTGTAACTTGTATTCATGTACCTGTGTTATTTATGTTTTATTATCTTTGATGTTTATAATATGTGTCTGCTGTTTCTTTATGCTCTTAATGTGTTGCATTGTTGTAAAGCACTTTGAATTTCTTTGAGTTGAAAGGTGCTCCATTTCAGATGTTTGATCTGAACCACAGCTTCCTGTGAGAGAACAGTACAAACCCTGTGTTGACTTCCTGTAGACACACAACATGCAGACACACAACATGCAGACACACAACATGCAGACACACAACATGCAGACACACAACATGCAGACACACAACATGCAGACACACATTACATTTCATTTAGCTGATGCTTTTATCCAAAGCCACTTGTGACCAATCACAGGGCCATTCTCCCCGAGTCACTGAGGACTGAGAACAAGGGCACACTAGTGGAGGTGTTTGAACTCACAACCTTCCGATCTTTGGTCAACTGAGGTTTATTTGAATGTGCTATATAAATAAAGATTGAGATTGATTGAGATTGCAGTCACTGACAACATCCTCTGCACATTTATTTTATTGTATGTTTTTAATCTGTATATACTTCATCTACATAACGTGCACTATTTAATCCTGTTTGATGTCTCATATATATTTCAGTTGTGTTGCTGCAGGAGCCGAGATCAGTTCTTCTTCTATGGTCTCTGTTATGTGTCTGTGTGTGTATCTTTATACATCTGAACTGTTGCTGTTGAACAACACATGTATGTAGTATTTGTAAAATAAGCTATGGATCCTCAGAGCTTTGAATGACTTCAGTTTCTCTTCCTCTTCTCTGGAGAGTCGCGTTGCGATATTCACCGAACACCGAGCTGTAATTACTGCTTCATGACAAACATGATCACAGCTGCTCCACATGTGCAAGAACACATCAACCACATGTGTGTGGTGTGTGTGTGAGTGTGTGTGTTGGTGTGTGTGTGTTGGTGTGTGTTTGTGTGTGTGTGTTGGTGTGTGTGTGTTGGTGTGTGTGTGTTGGTGTGTGTGTGTTGGTGTGTGTCTGTGTGTGTGTGTTGGTGTGTTGGTGTGTGTGTGTCTGTGTGTGTGTGTTGGTGTGTGTGTGTTGGTGTGTGTGTGTGTGTGTGGTGTGTGTGTTGGTGTGTGTGTGTGTGGTGTGTTGGTGTGTGTGTGTGGTGTTGGTGATGTGTTAGGTGTGTGTGTGTGTGGTGTGTGGTGTTTGTGGTGTTGGTGTGTTGGTGTGGGCTGTGTGTTGGTAGTGGGTGTGTTGGTGTGTGTGTAGTTTGGGGTGTGTGGTGGTGTGGTGTGTGGGTGTGGGTGTGTGTGGTGTGTGTGTGTGTTGGTGTGGGTGTGTTGGTGTGTGTGTGTTGGTGTGTGTGTGTGTGTGTGTGGGTGTGTTGGTGTGTGTGTGTTGGTGTGTGTG